AAAAAATAAAAACAATATTTCCTGATCAATTTAAAAAATTTATTTATCAACCATGCCGACGTAATATCTGATAATATATATTTTTTCAACATATATTGAATATATCGATTATTGAATTTACGATGTTAATGCATCTATTACATGGTATAAGAGCATCTGACAGAAGGGTCATATGAGTATCGGATTTTTTTCAGATATATACGACTCGGAGATTCGGTTTCGGGGCTATTTTAAAGTCTGTGGACTCAATGTGCCGCGAAATGCGTCACCCTTCTCCACCTTCGTCATAATACAGATGCCACATAGATGGATACAAATCCCCGGGGAGAGATTCTCTCCATATCTATAACCGTTCTTCTTTTTAAACTACCAGATCTAAAACTGCACCGATGTAAAAGTGTGTCTCGGGGTAGTTTTAAACAATTCGTTGCCCAACCCCTCTGCTACGCGATCGAGTATATCGCCATTCAAGAATATATGGTGATACGATATAAAGATTCCTTTTATTTCACTTAAGCTAGGAACTTTCGCACAAATTTTTAGAATAAAGAAATTACCTATTTTATATGTTCGTTAAGAATCCGTTTTTTCAATCTGGTACTTTTTGTTGAACGAAAATTAATTAAATATCACTCACCGACACCGATGAATATAACAGCGAAATTGTTAAAGTTGCATCATCTGTAAGATTGAAATAAAAAATCGACATTACAAGCCGCTAAAATAATTAATATTTTAAAAAAATATTTATTACACAAATTTATTATTATGCAAAAAAAATATTATTATACGCGCCGAATTTTATGTTCGATGCATATAATAATAAGTAGATACATTAAATAAAGAATAATTTTTTAAATTCTAAAAAAAATTATTTATTAAATAGAAACTTTTATACGATTTATATCAAAAATCTTTCTCGAATTTTAATTGACAGATTCGTGTTTTACGCACAAGAATATATACACAATATATGTAAACGTGCGATATTAAATTCTTTATCGCTGCATCAATAAATAATAAAACAAATAATTCGACTCACATTTCGATTTTATTCCGAATTCCTTTTTCCGGAATTTTCGGAATTTCGGAATTTTTGCAAATTTTCGGTGGCTCGAGTCGGAGCCATGACGTCACGCAATCTTTTGGCGGGACGAGTCAGAGCCGTGACATCAAACTATTTTTCGGGACAAAGGTCATTTTTTAAATAAAAAATAGATTTTTTTAAATAAAAAAATGTTATAAGACTTATAAAAAAAATTTATAATAATAGTCATAAAATTTTTATAATAAAAAATGATTCTCGTTCATAACTTAAAGCGATTCATAAATAGTGCCAAACGTCAAAAAAATTTCAAAGTAAAAAAAAACTTCAGAGTCCTATAACAGTTTTTTTATTTCAAAAAAACGTTATAGGACTTATACAAAAATCGATGAAAATATTTTTCATCAATTCATTCTTTAATAATTAAAAAAAAATGAATGATACAAAAGAAGAAATATTTAGGAAAATTTAAATTATTGGATAAAATATTTCTTTAAATGGTATATATAATATATTTAATACACTCTAAATATTTGACAAAGTTTATAAAAATAATAAGCAGACATTTAAATTTATATATATATATATTTGATTGTATATAATTTATATGTATATATATGTATATATTTTTTTTATTTCAAACATTTTTATATATTACTTATTAAAAATTTCAGATTGGAGATTTTTCGCTATTTTGTGGTACATTTTACTATACAATCAAAACATCCCATTCATCGTGAGCGATACATCAGGATTTTCTTTATCTAATTTTTGATTAGCTAAGGTAATGATTAGAATCAAATTCAATATGTACTTAAAAATCCGAATCGAATTTTTTTAAAAAAGATTCAAATAATACTCATAAAAAATATTTAATATATATTGCATTGTAAAGTAATCGAATCTGGAACAATTATATTCAAATTTTAGATTGAATACCTACACTTTTCGAAATAGTATATATTTAATATAAATACTTTATATTGTAAAAAATCTTTTACAAGTATGCAAACTCAAAGATAAAATCTATTTATAATACTATAATCTATTTTAAATCTTTATCTATAATTATAAATTATAAATCTTTTGTTAATTTATATTTATTAATTTATATAATTTTATATAATATAAATATTAATAAAAATATAAATATTTTTTAATTATTAATATTAATATAAATATTAATTATCCCAAGTAGCAAGTGTACATTATTTTGACGTCAAAATAAAAAAAATATATATATATATATATATTTTTTTTTATTAATAATTATTATTTATAATTTATCCAGATTCGAGTCTTGAAAGTACTTGTTCTTTTTTTTAAATAATTATATAGAGTTTTTATGTGAAAATCATGCAAACAAATTCGAACCAACTTGTAAATAGGTTACTTAATTATTTAATCCCATTGCTAGTAATGATGTAACTTAATCCCATCGCTAGTAATGATGTAACGTGTTCGCACACGACATATCCATGGTGTTTAGCAGCATTTTATCTGTTCCCTCCAAAGTTATTAAGTAGTAGAGTGATAATAGCTGAGTCAGGCATCCCGTGAGATATGGTCGACGAGTGACATCTTCAAAGTTTAATATCCACGCGACTGAAGAGTCGCTTTTACCGCGAACTTCTACTATTGGCTACACAGCCTCTTGTCATATGTAGTACGTTTGTATCAATATTAGTATCAATATTGGCCCTTTTGTTCTCAATATCGTAGTTAGTGAATCGAGTGCGATTTTATTTTCAATGACTTCCATAAGGATTTAAATAACGCAAATTTTAATTTTATTTCTTTAGTACAAATGTGTGTAATTTCAAAAATAAGTATTCTCTCTTTATTTAATATTAATGCTTCTTAATTCTAATTGTTAAGGCTTTGAATTATTTAATCATTATAAATTTATTTACACGTAAATTATCAAAATATTTCTAATATATAATCTTTTTATTTATTCTAATACTGCTCATTTATTTCTAGCGATATAAAATGTAATAATATACAAATGTTAACTTAAAAAATTAATATAAAAAATATTTAGAATTATTTCGTGTACAAAAATTAAAATTAAAAATCAAAGTCTCTCAAGAAAAAGGATAAAACTCGTTATCGTAATTAATATTTTTTTACCATTATATTATTTATATAATTAATATTATTTTAATCAAAATTATAACTTTTAATATTTCCTTATATTTTTAACAGAGAAAATCTACTTCCTAAATAACAATACAATAAGTTTAAAAATAATTTATTTTGATTTCATATATAAAAGACCCTTAATTGTTAAAAAAAAGAAATAAATGAACAATACTAAAGATATAGATTCAAGTGCATTTAGATTGAGTTGGTCGCCAGTAGGGTAATTTTAATTATGAGATAGTTCATCCCAATATCGGGGTTTCGAGAGAAAATTACTGCTCATGGAAGGGATGAATCTGGGGTAGATGGGGTAACAACGTATTATACATTTCCCTGTCAACCCCCTCGCATTAACCGCAAACTCTCCCTATTCACCCTTCTCTTCGCCAACAATTTGTTAACTGCTATTGAATTGACTTCAACTAGTGACTTCGGACTATTCGCTCATTAAAACGACACGTCACACGGACAAACATACATTGTTGCTTGAATAACGATTGTTTCTTGCAAATGATGTGTTTTGTTTATAAGTTTACTCTTATTTCAAAAATGCAAAGCGATAATAAAATACGAGAGAGCGATTTTGTAATTAAACATTATTTAAGAAATAATAATAGTAATAATTTCTCATTATATTTTTTTATGTTTTACTATATAACAGTTTTGATCTCTACAATTTATTTTTTATTATTTTACAATTGTGAGAACTTTGGTTAAACTTTGAAAATATTCTTTTTAAAATATCGTATACTATTATTGCAGTATAAATTTTATTCAATTAAAATAAAATATATGTTGGAATTTTTAATTCTTAAAAAGAATTGACTTGAAAATTAAAATTAAGAGAATTTCGATTGAAAAATCAAGCAAAAAATAAGATATATTTTCGACTGCTCTTTATTGTTTTAAAGTATATAACTTTTTATTTCTCTAATAATTATTTTAGATAATTAATAATTATTGTATTTTAATAATTTCTCTAATAATACTTGCAGTCAAATATATGTACATATTTAACCTTCGAAAAAATCGATTTTCCTATTTTTAATATTAAATAAGCTTTAATAAATATTATACAGCTATTTATTAAATTCTGACTTTTATATAAGTTCAGAAAAATAAAGACGCGATTATATTAATACAAAAGATCTTCAAATCTCGTAAATAATTTTTTTATTTGAAACAAATAAGTTATACTGACTATACTTTTTTAAAACAGAATAACTTTGATTCTAAAGATACTTTTTGTAGCTATGAGTTTTTAGAATAATTACTGGAAAGATTAAACTAGTTCACTCTGTAATAAAAAAAAATTAACTTTCTAGAAAAAAAATAAACTATGTAAAAAGCCTGTTATAAGCTAAATATCATTAATAAATATCATATAAAACTTACATTTGCATAATAAAGAGAGGCGGTATTTTTATTCTACCTTTTCTAAGTACATTATCGTTATCACAGATATTCATACAATAGATATAAAAACATTTTGTCGGCACGAAATGCAAACGGAACGTTACGATATGAAAAAAGTATATAATTACAAAGGGCACGAAAAATGTACAATGTTCGCATTAAGTCGGTGCTTTAATATTCCCATAGATTAATAATTAATTACGCGCGGATAAAAATCGCGACGAGGAAGGAAAAAAATGAAATTATCGCGCAATCGATGGAAGATCGAATGAATTTTTTATGCGCCACGTCGCGAACTCGCACATTAGTATTGTATTATATGTGCCTTTATATATCGCATTCTGTGCGCTTTTGCTACAATATTTATTCGATAATGCAGTAGTCAACGCGTCGACGTGTACGTGAAAAGAGTTCCTTATAGTTTTCCATTTCCTTTTGAACCATATATATTATTTATGACTCGTCGCGATTGATAATTCTTCATCCGCAAATTGTGAGACTCCTTGGACTTCTATTATTGAACTGGATCCATCGGTTGGATATGAAGAAGGTCAGGATACAAATTCGATCAGATGCATCGTCGTATTCAAAAGTAGGATGTTGGAGTATCCTAAAAAAACAAGCGGCTGAATTTTGCTCCAACACCGGATTACATGGTTACAAGTACATCAGCCAAACTGAACGTCCCAAAGCGGAAAGGTATGTACAGATTTCTTAATTTTTATTTTTTTATCGTAAATACAGACTAATCTGTCCTATCTAAGAGAAAATCCTTCGATATATTTTTATTTAATAAAAATATTTAAAATATATTTTTATAACATTTTAATATATTTTAATATATTTAATATATTTATATATTTTATATTTAATATATTTATATATTTTAATATATTTAATATATTTATATATTTTAATATATTTAATATATTTATATATTTAATATATTTAATATATTTATATATTTAATATATATATATTTTAATATATTTAATATATTTTAATATCAGAAGAGACTTTATTATGTTAGTCGATTTAATAAATTTCACATTTTGCTCTTCAGCATTAAATACACTTTGACTTTGATGAAAAATATGTTAATAACTCTGTTAGGTTCTAATTAAAATAAATAAAAAGAATATCTATATGCACATATAAATAAATAAATAAATAAATACACAAGTTATACATTTCAATTTCAAAGAAGCTTGCAAATGTCCTAGATAGCAAGCATACGTCATTTTGACGTCGGATGACGTCAGTTTGCTACTTGGGGTATCATAAAATTTAAATAGCAATAGTGTTAATAAGAAATGTCAATAAGAATGTATTGACAAAATTAAATGTCAATGAAATAAATGTCAAAAGTGCGATATCATTAATTATTTCTCAAAATAGAGATGCTATTATTATAAAAACTGTGTAATGTAGGAAATTATGAAATAAGTGAAATGTTCTTTCCATGTATATGTACACCTAAAATAAAATGGGTATATAAAATCAAATTTACCATTATTTATAGGATTATTTGGGCGATAACGGTACTTTCGTCATTATGCTGTGCTATAGTTTTAATGAATATGTCTTGGAATTATTATGCCAGTCGTCCTACGCTGACAGTCATTGAATCGACGCATTATGGAATATGGAATTATCCATTTCCTGCAATAACAGTATGCAATATTAATCGCATATCTTACAACTTGACTAAGGAGTTTGTCAAAAATTTGTGAGTACCCTGTTATGTCTATATTATACAAAAATTTTGGTAAAACAAAAATTACTTAGGCATCTCTGATAGAAATATTTTACGGAAATTATATATATAATGAAATCATCAATTGTACTAAAATTCATTTTTTATTATTTATTTGATCACATTAAAAACCTATTAAAAGAAAATCTCAAATAAGTTTATTTATAATATATTATTTTAATATTTACTATTTTTTCTATTTCTTTGTAAATTAAAAAATTGAAAAATTAGCAAATTATTAGTATAATATATTACAAATTCATTATAATTTAAGATATTTCAATATATCTTTTATAGTTCAATTTTAGACAGATTATGCAATAATTGCATTAATAACTTAATTTTAAAAGAAAATATGTCGCAATTTTGTATCATTAATTTTCAAAAGTATTCATTAATTTTCCTCAAAACGCACAGTACTTCATTAATTATATTTTATAGTAAAAATTTTAATTTATATTAAAAATAGATATAGTAATTATGTAATCATTTTCATTTGCATGTTCAAAATTAAATTATATAATCATAATTATTATAATAAATTCATTATATATAATTTTAATATTATATATATATATATATATATATATATATATATATCAAAGGTCAAAGAAAATCAATTAAGCGTCAGTAAACTTAAAATCAAGGATATTGTATAAAAAACGACCAACTAGCTAGTGATGGATTAGTTCTTTATTTAATCAGCAACGTTTTGACCCCAAATTGAGTCCTCTTCAGACTACGTAAAATATAAAATAATAACATATATAAAAGCCATCGCTAGTCAGTTGATCGTTTTTTATACAATATCCTTGATAATATATGTATATAATTAAAATAATAATATAATGTATATAATTATAATTAATTAAATTTATTATTATTATTGTAATAATATATATAATTATAATAAATTTATTATAATTTCAATAGAATAGTTTTTTCAGGAGAGAGAGAAAGAATTCTTGTTATTACTTATATTTATAATATTGTTATAAAGATTTTTATTTTGTTATGCTGCATTTTTGTAGGAAAACACCACCTAATATGTCAAAAGAATTTCTTATTCAAGAAATGCGATTAATAAACGAATTGTTAATACCTGGAACATTCGGACATGATGTCCAGAAGAATCTTACTCGTTTACAATATATTATAGATGATAACCGAATGTCCATTCTTGATGTAGTAAAATTGGTATGTATTAAAAACATATTTCTTGTATACAATATGTTATAAAATTCTAAGATATATATTTTTTGCTTTCTTGTTTTACATCAAACATAAATCTTTAAGAGAATTCCGTTTGTTTACAATTCCGATTAATATTGTTAAAAATCAACATAAATTTTTTAAACATGCTGAAAATGAATAAATTATATGATCCAATTTATTCATTAATCTAAACTGAATTTTTATTCTATTAAATTATTAAATTATGTTCTCATACATTTTATAAATAAAATATTTTAATATTAAAATATTCTATTTTTAATATTAATTTAAAAAAAATTAAAAGATTTTATTGATAGAGTATTAAAAAAATGTCTAAGTTCTAATAAAATAATTACTTTAGTGTGTAAATTTAATAATTTATTAAATTTAATAATTTATTTAATTTACTAAATTAATGATTTTATAAAATTATTATAAATTATATAAGACTAGAGAGCTCTGTTAAGACACTTTAATTCCCCCCTACATTACATCTTATTTTTCAGCATTGCTACTCTAAGAAAAATTAATTATTGTTACCTTTTTTCAGATTTCGCAAAATTGCAGCACTCTATTGAGATTATGCAGATGGAAAGGCACGCTTGATCGATGTGACAGATTCTTCAAGCAAAGCTTTTCACGGGATGGCATGTGCTGCAGTTTTAATTATTACATTTTTCCAGAAATAACAGAAGAAAAGTATGAACACCTTTTTTACAAAGAAATTTTGCGTTATAGGCATAATACTGAAAATTTGTAAAATTTAAGATCTATTAGAATGCTCTTGCATAATTTTAGGAAAAAATATTAAGTAGTTTGCTATAAAAATCACTCAACTAATCTAAATGTTTTATTTAATAAGTAGATGCATCACTATATTTTACATTCCTAACAAGACTTAAAACAAAAGATAAAAAAAATAAAAACATAAAAAATTAATATAAATTTAACGTATAAGACGGGCAACAAGAGCCAAATCGCGGATGACAATGCTTTATCCTAACGAAACTAAATAATTTTCCGTTAGAATTAAATACCGGTGCACAAGGCACCAAATTTTACTTGGACACGGCCAAGATTTTAAAATATGAAATAATCTCATATTTGAGATTTAATTTCAATACCCCTTTAACCCCCCTACGGAAAATAAATAAATGAATGCAAGAGAAAAATATAGATCCGAAAATCGCTGAATCGGGAATCGAACCCGAGACCTTTCGCTTGCCGGGCGACTGCTCTTCCAGCTGAGCTATTCAGATCCTTTCGATTCTATACTTTTCTCTGTTATATATATTAATGTTGGTAAACAAACGCATTTTTAAGCCAGCGTGTATCAATATAAGAGTTTTAACAAGGCTCTGTAATATAAATATAAATTTAACGTATAAGACGGGCAACAAGAGCCAAATCGCGGATGACAATGCTTTATCCTAACGAAACTAAATAATTTTCCGTTAGAATTAAATACCGGTGCACAAGGCACCAAATTTTACTTGGACACGGCCAAGATTTTAAAATATGAAATAATCTCATATTTGAGATTTAGTTTCAATACCCCCTTTAACCCCCCTACGGAAAATAAATAAATGAATGCAAGAGAAAAATATAGATCCGAAAATCGCTGAATCGGGAATCGAACCCGAGACCTTTCGCTTGCCGGGCGACTGCTCTTCCAGCTGAGCTATTCAGATCCTTTCGATTCTATACTTTTCTCTGTTATATATATTAATGTTGGTAAACAAACGCATTTTTAAGCCAGCGTGTATCAATATAAGAGTTTTAACAAGGCTCTGTAATATAAATATAAATTTAACGTATAAGACGGGCAACAAGAGCCAAATCGCGGATGACAATGCTTTATCCTAACGAAACTAAATAATTTTCCGTTAGAATTAAATACCGGTGCACAAGGCACCAAATTTTACTTGGACACGGCCAAGATTTTTAAAATATGAAATAATCTCATATTTGAGATTTAATTTCAATACCCCCTTTAACCCCCCTACGGAAAATAAATAAATGAATGCAAGAGAAAAATATAGATCCGAAAATCGCTGAATCGGGAATCGAACCCGAGACCTTTCGCTTGCCGGGCGAGCGAAAGGTCTCGGGTTCGATTCCCGATTCAGCGATTTTCGGATCTATATTTTTCTCTTGCATTCATTTATTTATTTTCCGTAGGGGGGTTAAAAGGGGTATTGAAATTAAATCTCAAATATGAGATTATTTCATATTTTAAAAATCTTGGCCGTGTCCAAGTAAAATTTGGTGCCTTGTGCACCGGTATTTAATTCTAACGGAAAATTATTTAGTTTCGTTAGGATAAAGCATTGTCATCCGCGATTTGGCTCTTGTTGCCCGTCTTATACGTTAAATTTATATTTATATTACAGAGCCTTGTTAAAACTCTTATATTGATACACGCTGGCTTAAAAATGCGTTTGTTTACCAACATTAATATATATAACAGAGAAAAGTATAGAATCGAAAGGATCTGAATAGCTCAGCTGGAAGAGCAGTCGCCCGGCAAGCGAAAGGTCTCGGGTTCGATTCCCGATTCAGCGATTTTCGGATCTATATTTTTCTCTTGCATTCATTTATTTATTTTCCGTAGGGGGGTTAAAGGGGGTATTGAAATTAAATCTCAAATATGAGATTATTTCATATTTTAAAAATCTTGGCCGTGTCCAAGTAAAATTTGGTGCCTTGTGCACCGGTATTTAATTCTAACGGAAAATTATTTAGTTTCGTTAGGATAAAGCATTGTCATCCGCGATTTGGCTCTTGTTGCCCGTCTTATACGTTAAATTTATATTTATATTACAGAGCCTTGTTAAAACTCTTATATTGATACACGCTGGCTTAAAAATGCGTTTGTTTACCAACATTAATATATATAACAGAGAAAAGTATAGAATCGAAAGGATCTGAATAGCTCAGCTGGAAGAGCAGTCGCCCGGCAAGCGAAAGGTCTCGGGTTCGATTCCCGATTCAGCGATTTTCGGATCTATATTTTTCTCTTGCATTCATTTATTTATTTTCCGTAGGGGGGTTAAAGGGGGTATTGAAATTAAATCTCAAATATGAGATTATTTCATATTTTAAAAATCTTGGCCGTGTCCAAGTAAAATTTGGTGCCTTGTGCACCGGTATTTAATTCTAACGGAAAATTATTTAGTTTCGTTAGGATAAAGCATTGTCATCCGCGATTTGGCTCTTGTTGCCCGTCTTATACGTTAAATTTATATTTATATTACAGAGCCTTGTTAAAACTCTTATATAAAAAATTAATATGTATAAGTAAAATTAGATATGTGGAAAAACATAGTTGTTGGGGAAAAAACGTCGTTTTTATCTATTATTTCTCAAGTAGCAAATTGACATCATTTTGACGTTTAATGACGTCATTCGACGTCAAAATGACGTATGTTTGCTATCTGGATTAACATATAATAATAAATAAGAATAAAAAAATATAAAACTCACGGACATTTTAAAATCCAGTTTTACGTTTAGTGTATTTACATACAATTATCACATGGAATATTATATATTTTTTGATTAACATTTACTAAGTTTTTTCTTGTTGCAAAGAATGCAGCGAAGTGCTTCCTGCGGGTTCGAGACTGGAATGTCTATGATAATAAATGGTAACCCTGATGATTATCACGCCACTATTCTCGGAGCATATGGAATAAAGGTAATATTGTCAATTTTCTTCTTTTTTAAGTCATTTATAAAAACTTTTTTCTGAAATAAAATTTCTCACATCATTAGAAACAATAATTATCACAATGTAAAGAAATTTGTATAATAAAACTATAATCGTTTTTATTTTCTAGTGTTTGTCAAATTTAAATATTAAAATTTTTTTATTTTATTTAGAAAACAATTTTTTCTAAAATAAAATTGAAAACAATAATTAATAATTACATTTTATATAAACAATGATAAATTATTAAATTAAGGCCATGTGTAACGAGCAATACGATATTATTTTATTATTTAGAAGAAAATTCTTAATTTGAAATAATAATTACACAAACGTTTCGAGCTCTACTTGCTCCTCTTCAGTGCACAAAAAAAATAGTGATAATAAATAACGATAATAAATAAATACATAAAATTCTAATAAAAAATCCGCAATACATAGTCAATATAAGTTATATAGTTAAGTCATAGTTAAAACGCAAAATATATTTACAATGAATTGAAACCATTAAAATAGTTCAACAAAGTAAGAACCCAATTAGAAGCAGAATGATTCGTCCGGTTATTCATAAAATATTTTAGAATTATTAATAAAAAAAAAAAAAAAAAAAAAACTCGGAGTGACACTTATACATTACTCCAAACGAACCACTTATCGTTATTTGACGAAAGTCCCTCGATCTGGGAATGATTATGTCCATCCTCTCCAAATTATTTGATATTTGTTAACTGAATTTAAACAATTTATTCAATTGTAAAATAGGATTCCACTAATGTGTATGTAAAAAAAAGATTAAAAATTACAAATTAAACTAAATACTAAAATATTGAACCTTTATGCTTACAAATTGTTCCGAATAACTTGAGATGACGATGCTTCTAATTGTTGTTGGCCTTATTGTTAGTACTTGACTGTTGTCTAGTCTTTTAAAAAGTCGAATAAATAGGTGTCAGATCTCACAAAATAAACATTTACATAAGTCTAAAAATTCGATATTTCTTCTAGAATGTCGAAATACGCGTTGTTAAGCAATTCGGTGTCTGTGTTATTATTTATACCATGCCTTTGTTCCTTGATGTGTATCATTTCCGAGATAAGTCTTTTATAATAATTAGATTCAATATCAAGTATTTTAACGTTATCCCAATCAAAAGCATGTTTTTTATCTATAATATGTTCAGAGACCACAGAATGCTTGGAGGAATCAAATTTAATATTATTCATATGCTCTTTTAGTCTAGTGCGTAATTTTCTTTTGGTTTGCCCAACATACGAAGCTTCACAATCCTTACAATTAATTTTGTAGACAACATTATTATTATTGTTATGCACGTTTTTGTCCTTGTGGACTTTAATTAATTTGTTAAGATTATTTAGACAACGGTATCCTACTCTGAAATCTGATTTTTTTATTGTCGATGCTATTGTCTCAGAAATGTTATTAATGTATGGAATGACGAAAAATTTTTTCTTGCTATTATCTTCTGCAATTTCTTTTTTTCTATTGTTGTTAAACTGTCCATTGTTTAAAACTCTTATTCTCTTATTTATTTCTTTAAAGATTAAATGAATAGGGTAACCGTTGTCCAATAATATTTTAATACACAGTTCTAAATTTGTCTTATGATATATGGGATGAGATAATAACAATGCCCTATTAATAAGATTATAAATTACTCCTATTTTATGGCACATAGGGTGACTCGATAAAAAAGTTAGTACTCTACCTGAACATGTCTTTTTTTGAAACCAATCTAAGTGTATGACGTTATCTATTATTTTAATGTTTAAATCTAGAAAATTTATGCTTCTATTAATTTTGTATTCAATCGTAAATTGTAGTCGTTGATTGTAACTATTAAACTTATTCAGTACACTATCAATTTTATTCTTTGGTGCTTTGTGGTAATCAAATAATTTGGAGAGGATGGACATAATCATTGCCAGATCGAGGGACTTTCGTCAAATAACGATAAGTGGTTCGTTTGGAGTAATGTATAAGTGTCACTCCGAGTTTTTTTTTTTTTTTTTTTATTAATAATTCTAAAATATTTTATGAATAACCGGACGAATCATTCTGCTTCTAATTGGGTTCTTACTTTGTTGAACTATTTTAATGGTTTCAATTCATTGTAAATATATTTTGCGTTTTAACTATGACTTAACTATATAACTTATATTGACTATGTATTGCGGATTTTTTATTAGAATTTTATGTATTTATTTATTATCGTTATTTATTATCACTATTTTTTTTGCGCACTGAAGAGGAGCAAGTAGAGCTCGAAACGTTTGTGTAATTATTATTTCAAATTAAGAATTTTCTTCTAAATAATAAAATAATATCGTATTGCTCGTTACACATGGCCTTAATTTAATAATTTATCATTGTTTTTATTGTCATACGAGCTTGAGCATTGGTATGTGATGGTTTGATTAGGTATTAATTTTGCATTACATTTTATATATATATTTTTATATCTAAGTTTAATGAAAATTGTCATCATTTTTATTTTTTAGTGTTCTGGAATTAATATTAAATTTATATGTTAATAATAATTTATTGACAAAAGATTAAATATTAAAAATTTTTTAAATTTTGTTTTTATATATATATATATATATCCATGTATATATATATATATATATATATATATATATATATATCCAAGAGTGTTTTTCTATATATTATTATTATTATTATTAATTATTATATATTATTATATATTATAATTATTATATATTATTATTAGTATTACTCGTAAAATTCTATCAGAGTTTTACATTATTTTAAAAATGTCATTCACTAAATTTAATAAATAAATATATATTATCATAGGTCATGGTACACCACCCGTTCAATTATCCAGATTTTAATGCCGAAATGCAATTAGTACAATTAAATAGCGAACATTTCGTGAGTATTAACCCCTCGGTAATGTATTCAAAACCCGAAGTGAAGAATTTGGCGGTTTCTACACGAAAATGTATATTTACCGATGAGGCAAACAAAATATTATATTCAAAAGTCAAAGCTAGAAATTTAACTTTCGCGACGTATTCATATCACAACTGCATTGCAGAATGTCGAGTTACTTTTACAAAAATAAAGTGCGGTTGCATCCCTTATTACTTTCCACAAAATAGTAAGTAGACACAAAACACGTAAGTATACAAAAAATAGAAAATTATTATTATCGAAAACTATTATTTTTGATTGAAAAAAATAATTAGAATATTTTTTATCGTGTGTATAAAATAAAAGTCTATGTTTTCACTTCTTTAAGTTAAATTTGATCATACCTATGTGCCGTTTTTGAATCATCTATGTTATTAAAATGAATAATGAATTATTTTATTTTTATTATTTTTATTATTTTATTTTAATTATTTTAATTATTTTATTTATTTTAATTATTTTATTTCAATATATTATTTAAAATAATTCTGTAATTTATCTGTAAATTTTTTTTTAATTCTCCGAGTTAGTCAGACACTTGTAATAAGTTTTAAAGTAAATTAATTTTTCTTTTAAAACAAATTGTACACAAATTTTTTACAATTTGTTTATAACTAGCAAATATTAATCGACATTTCTAAAAGAACACATAAATAACTACTGCTAATTTATCCTTTAATTTCTTGTGCAACTTTGTATATACAACTAAGATAAGAAGGCACATATTCAAAAAATGTATGTCCAAGAGAATTAACATATTGTATAAAATAATTTCCATGTCCATACAATCAAATATTTATTAAATGTATCCATATCTTAATAGATACATAAATAATAAAAAGAATTTTTACGATTGTTTGGTTTTCTTTAAAATATACATTGTACATTGTAAAACAAAATAAATATATTTTACTCCAGGTACCAGAATATGTAATCTCAGAGACGTCCAATGTTTAAAAAGATATAAGTGTAAGTGCGTAAGTAAATACATCCATTTACATTTGATCACTCAATTATCAAATATAAAATGTTATCTATATCTTCTAAATGTTATCTGTAAAAAAATTATGTTTAATAGTCAATTTTACACCAGCATACTTTATATTTAACTCTAATTATAGAACATATAATCGCATTCTCATTTTACGTAGAAAAGATATGTATATAAAAACAGATAAAAAATTATAAAAGTTAAATGATTTTGAAAAAACATTTTTAATAAAAATTGTAAAATTCTTAGAAGAAAGGAATGTGACAATATAAATTTATTTTTAAATAGAATTGTCAAAGATATGTTTTTTTTTATTAGAAACTTTCAATTTTTATTAATATCCTTATAGTTGCGATTTCAAAACATTTTATATTTTTATAGTATATTTTATTTTTATATTATATTTTCAAAATATTCCTATTACTAATCTTATTTTATATATAGTATATATATATGATCCAGATATTTCATAGTTAGAGTTTAAAATTACGAGAAACTTTAGTAGGATTTTAAAAATATCTAAATGTCAGCTTTAAGAACAATATAAATTGTAATAAAAATTGAAGGTTTCTATAACATTTAAAAAAATTAATTTTGACAATTCTATCTATCTAACAGACTAATATTGCCACGTTGCTTCTTTTGAAAACTGTACAACTTTTGTTAAAAACATTTTTTTTTTACTTTTATTTCTCCATAAATCACCTAATTAGATAAAAATAAATAAAAGTGATTAAAAAAGCATTACTTTAAGCTTTTTTGCTTTACATATATTTGTTTTTTACGTTTACATTTATTTTTTAGCGATTTTCGATACTTCATGGCCAATGAGTCAACATGACCAAAATCTATCAAAATCTCTCCAAGAATTAAGCAGTATTAAAAAAGGACCTTGCGGATGCATACCAGATTGCTCTCTGCATCATTATTCTGTAGAAAGCTCCTTTGGAACGCTTGATCCTACTCTTTATTTTAATGAAGAAGGTTTCTCAAAGAACCCTCGGTAAAAAATCAATTCAGTCGCTCAAAACACAAAAGTTACACATATTTTTTCACATATATTTTCGCAAACTTTTATCTTACTTTATAAGGAAATTCCTATTTCTTTTGTTCCGACTACTTCTATTCCAAAAAATAAATCTTACTTGAAAATAGGATTGGGTGAGATGTGAATTGAGAGAAGAGTCTTTAACTTGTAAAAATCTTTAATTTTTTATAAATCTTTGATAGACTATATAATGCTTTACCTGCCCCAACATCTTCAACGTTATATAACAATTACTGCTAATTTGTCTTTTAATTTCTTGTGCAACATTATATATACGATTAAGATAAGAAGGCACTTATCCAAAAAATGTATGTCCAAGAGACAACTATAACTATAATAAATGTTGTAAACAAACGATAATAGAAACACACACACACACATATAATCAGCTATATATTTTCAAAAAATGTTTCATAAAAACATATTTTCTGAAAAAATCTCGAAGATATCTTGGAGGCGCCTTTTCGATAAAGTTTAGAAACATCTTAAACATATATATATGACATCTTAAACATATATATATATATATATATACTAATAATAATATATATATACACATATCAAAATATAATCTAAAAATTATACTTATATCCTAGAAAAATATTTTCAGTATTATTGAAAAATAGAAAAACTTAGACATATGTAGTTGCATTCTTAATACTTATTTGTAATATGTATCTCGTCTCTCTTTTGAATGTTCCAAAAGTTACGCAATCATTTTTACAGTATTCTTAAAATATTTTCAGAATTTAAATGTGTTGTACCTGAATTAACATTAATGTTAATTCTTGTACGACCTATGTAGATTCTTCATTTGTCCAGGTAGCAAAAATACGTAATTTTAACGACGTCATTGAACGTCAAAATGACATCATTTTGACGTTCAGTGATGTCAGTTTGCTATTTGGTAATAATTTGATCAAAATAATTATTTTTGCTACCTGAACAGATTTAAATATATTCATGCATTTTTATCTCGATAATATATTTATAATATATATTAATAATATATTATTCTTATATTTTTGTAGTAATGCCACCAGCATGCGCAATCATAGTATAATACATGTATTCTTCAATGATTTAGTCGCCTTTCAATATCGACAATCAGTCAATTATAGTTGGCGTAATTTGTTCGGTAAGAAACATGCTTACTTAAACAAAACATTATATAAAAATAGTCGAATAATGTTAAAAATATCTGTTAATTTTTAGCATCATTCGGCGGTTTACTCGGATTGTTTGCTGGTTTCAGCCTCATGTCAATCTTTGAATTTCTATATTTCTTTGTGATACGCACAATAATTGAGGCATACTTCAATTCAACAAAACACAGAAATGTGCAATAACATACTAATAAACTCTAATTAGAAATAATTAACATCAGAAGCAATTGCCACAATAATTCTAATTGTCAATGCATAATCTTATAATTTATATATATATAAACATATGTCAAAATGAATAAAATTTTTCGTTAATCTGCTCTGCAGATCCAAAGAAAAAACTAAAACAAGTTAAAATTAAATAATAGTATATTGTGTATCAAGTGCGGAAAGTTGACAATTAATCACGAGTGCGGAGGATGGACGCACGAGCCGAAGGCGAGTGCGACCACCCCACATGAGTGAACAATTGTCAACTTTCCGCACTTGATACACAATATAATATTAAACAAGTTTGACTCTTATTAAGCCATTTTCTATATAAATTTGTATTTATATATCAAACCTTATATATATATCCTTTTCGTTTTGTTATATTATTATTAATGTTCTAAATGCTTATATTATTCACATAAATCTTAATAACATTAAATAAAACCTTTTGTTTATACTTTTCATATATAAAATGCTTCTTGCATTTACAAATAGTTGTAAACACATTTTTAATATTTGTCATTCATTATAATTAAATACATAAGATAAATATGTAATAAATTTAAGTGTTCAATAGACTCTTAAAGCAACCATATTTTAAAATGTATAAATAAATTTTGCAAATATTAAAATAAATAATTACTCTTTAAATTAATATTATCTTTTCTGATTTTTCATATCTGAGTATTTATCTTATGTCATTTTCAAAAATTAATTTGACAAATCAATAATCTTTTTACTTATCATAATATGTCCATATAAAATAAAAACATTTCAAATACATTACTAATTACTATACTTAAAGTACAGAGGCAGTTGCAGTCATTAACTGAAAGTCTGAGTCTAAACGATAATTGCGTATCTCTGGCAATTGTGCAATCTGAGTCCCATCTTTTATTGCACTTTTCTCTCGCATAGATTTAATTATTTTTCTCGCACACTCGAGGAAAGATAACTGATTCCCATAAGTTTTGAAAACGTCACAAAATTCTTGTATAAACCATGAACCTGAATGGAATAAATAGAATATTAATTAACAATAAAGAATATAAAAATTTAATTATGAATAATATAGTTAAGTACCAGTCGTCACATTGTTTACCTTGTTCCATATGACGTATTGAAACAAAACCTTGTATTGTCGATATAAATAATAAAAATTTTGTAAACTGACGTACATCTTTTAATTGAAGTACAGAATCGGATAAACCGTCCGTTGTCAAACAGTTATTTATACTTCCTGAAAATAAAATGCTTTTATTATATATATATTTAATTATTAAGAGAGAGAAGATATTAATATATTGAACATTGAGGCATATAAAAAATTTAAATATTTTACATACAGAATAGAGTTTTCAGTAGTTTTTGTATCTTACAAAATTCTAATTCTGATCAAATCTTGAAATTTTCTATTATAATATATAATATTTAATTTTTTTAAATGTATATTTTTTCTCTTATGCAATTTTTTTTATTTACCACGTGTCTTTCCTTGACAAGCTTGAACAACAACAATTTTTATAACATCTTTCAATTCCATACAACAAACAGCTCCTTCAATTTCTTCCAGTGAAACTTCTTTTTCATCTGATGAAATTACACCTCCTATAATGTAAACTTGTCATTCTCCATTTATTAAATATATTTAATAAAGTGTAGAAAATAAATATGTGATACAAAAAGGTGAATGTAATACATCAGGTAAAAAATGTGCTAATAAGAATCAAGTGTAAAAAAAGTAGACACAACAATTTTTCTTAAAATATTCTCTCAATTAATTTCTACTTGAATTTTTATATTTATTTTATATTTATTTGTATTTATTTTTATATTTATATATATATTAGAATCTTTTCATGAAATATAATACATTTGCAGTATAATATATATGTTACTCTCATCATTTTATAAGACTTACATATTTAATATATTGTGAGGGATAGAAAAAAATATTACTACATTAAATATTTGCCATAATTACTTTTCTTACCTTTATATCCATGACTTAAGATGCAAAGCAATAAACAATCATACTTGTTACCATAGTCTTTTGGAATATTTTTAATTGTTTCTATCATTTCTTTCCTCTTTAGATTTTTATATATCTTAACTTGGAACCCAAAAGCTTTAAATGTTTTAGATAAATTAATACAATCCGCATCAGTTCCAAGTCGCGTCTCATACTAAAAAAAAATTAAGTAATTAATAAAAAGAAATACAAATAAAAATAATTTCTTTGAGAATAAATGTTAATATAGTACCTCTCTTCCAAAAGACTTCTGATTTATAATCACACATAATCCATTATTAATAATTTGTATTTTCTCTTTATTATTTTCTGCGAGAGATGGTTCTGTCGGAAAATTTGAATGAACATAGTTTTTGTCATTTGCTCCAGTCTTCCCATGAATATCAACATGCAATCGATTTTCAAATTTCTCCAAATTGAGAGAAATTATTTTTAAATCCTTAAACTTTTCCAAATGTTTTAATAATTTTTCCATATTATGATTTTGATCTAAAAGAGAAATATATAAAAAAATCATAATAATAAAATTCATATGCACAATTAGTTATAATATTAAAATTAGTCTATTAAAATTACTGCCCATAATAAATTAAACACACCTTTTGAAATTGTCATGTATTTAATTTGCATCCAATAAAGCATATGCAACTCAAGATAATCTACATCATCTAGCAACGATTTATAATTAGGAATATCAGATTTAACATAACTTAGTAATAATTTTTGCTCACTCTCGTTCAAAGATTCGCACAGTCTGTATAAGCACTTTGCGACTATGTTTATACTTTTTGAATAGAATGTGAAATTTGGAGCATATTGCAGGTCCAAATTCTCAAATGACAGTTTTAATTTCCTTATAACTTCTTGATTATTTAGAACGCATAACGATTCTAAAACTTTATCTTCCCAATTGTTCGGATATTGTCTCACATAATCTATGATCATGTATGAATCCTCCGTCTTTGCTTTTTGAAAAAGATTAAAGATATCCGTAAATGCATTTGCATAATCGTCTGCTATTAAAAATAATATAGAGATCTTCTCATCCATATCAAGATCTTTTTCCATCTGCCTTAAAATATTAAGGTTTATATCTGCCTTGACTGTGTTATTGGCAATTACATCCATTGCTAATATCATGAATTGTACATCTATTATTAATAATGTTGTCCTTTATCTGAAACATATATTAACAATTATTAATAATCACGTTACATTTTAATAACATTTTTTTAAATATATAATGTATATAAATTTAAATGTATAAAATATAATGTATAAAATATAAATATATAATTTTTATAAATATATAATAATTATTAATGATGGATGTGTAGTAAGTAGTAAGCACAAAAATTTGGTGACCTTCAAAATATAAAAGCATGTATATACTTACAAAAATAAACATTGTTTTCACATAAAAATATTACTTCTTAATTGCGTCACTACATAGACAACAAAAGAAAAATTTCTGTAGCATATAAAATTAAAAATATATAAATTGGTAACAATTTTTTATCACAATTTTTTATTTATTATAATAATTATTAATAATGAATGTGTAGTAAGCACAAAAATTTGGTGACCTTCAAAATATAAAAGCATGTATATACTTACAAAAAATAAACATTGTTTTCACATAAAATTATTACTTCTTAATTGCGTCACTACGTAGACAACAAAGAGAAAAATTTCTGTAGCATATAAAATTAAAAATATATAAATTGGTAACAATTTTTTATCACAATATAAATAAATATACATACACAACAATCAATCTTTGCCGACCTGCGGACAATCCTACTGATTAAGAATATCGTAAATTTAATAAGATTCATTAAGTATTTTGGCTAATATATGGGATGAACAAATCCGTAATTCTGGCCGCCCGATAGGCGTCTCCACCATGTCGCCTGTTGACCCTTAGGGTGCGATTACATGGACGCGCGGAAACGCGGAAACGCGGAAGAGAAAGTAACTAAACTTTACTAGAGTCCCGCATTTCCGCGCGTTCCATTCCGTCTGTTTTGATTGCCTTATATTACATGGAGCACATTTTGAGCGGAAAAGCGGAACGGGGAATTATAAAATATTAATATTTAACTATATTTATTGATTAAAATGCTTGTATCAGAGAGAAAGATGAGAGCGGCCAGGCCGGCGTTTTGGCTGTTACCGTTTTTACGGGACTGCTTGAAGCGCCCCTCGCACCCGTTTTTAATATCGGAACTAACTGCACACCCATTTTCTGGCAGGGTCGATAAAGTTTGTATTTGGTGCGAGTCCGTGCTACGCCCATAATTTTCGTGTTAACACAGTATCACGTATTCATTCTGTATATGTGCGATCTTTTCTCTTTATATATATATATATATATATATATGTATTTATATAATTTGTATAAAAACTAAAATATAATTATTAAAATATATATATATATATGTATATGTGTAATGAAATATATAAATCTTATTTTAATTAAAATAAAAAGAACGATTAATTGTTCGACCACCTGGATTTTGGAATGTAATTTTTAATATATATTATATTATATTTAATATTTATCGCCGCTTCTATTAATATGAAGTGCAATGTCAACGTGCAATAATGTACAATTATTTAAAGTTTCCATGCCTAATGTATCATGCCGGTATAAAAGAACGTCAAGTAGCATGCGTAGCCGAGCAACTAAGATGACGAGCTGAAATCGTGGACATTTCAAGTTCAAACCCCTGCCTTTTTCAGATTTTTTTTCACTTTTTTCAAATAAGTTATTATGTGTATAAATGTGTAATAATCAATATATCATTATTTGATAATTTTTTTTGTAATGGAACAAAATAAATTATTAAGAGTTTAACTAGGCTCTGTAATATATAAATATAAATTTAACATATATAAGATAGGCAATAAGAGCCAAATCGCGGATGACAGTGCGTTATTCTAAACGAAACTAAATTTTTTCGTTAGAATTAAATACCTGTGCACAAGGCACCAAATTTTTACTTGGACACGGCCAAGATATAAAATTGGAATAATCTCTACAAGAGATTTTTAATTCCATGTATCCCCTATTCCCCCTAAAGAAATAAAGTGCGAGAGAAAAATATAGATCCGAAAGTCGCAGAATCGGGAATCGAACCCGAGACCTTTCGCTTGCCGGGCGACTGCTCTTCCAATAAAAATCTCTTGTAGAGATTATTCCAATTTTATATCTTGGCCGTGTCCAAGTAAAAATTTGGTGCCTTGTGCACAGGTATTTAATTCTAACGAAAAAATTTAGTTTCGTTTAGAATAACGCACTGTCATCCGCGATTTGGCTCTTATTGCCTATCTTATATAAAATAAATTATTTTTTAATTCTGCAAGGAATTTAATTATTAATGCAAACGCCCACACACATAATTTAGATATTCAATTTTTTTTAGTTCAAATGTTTCTTGCAATCTGTATACGACAATCAGTCCACTCGCTGTGCCACAGATTGCATCGCATAATACGCTCAGAGTTATAATACGATAGAGATCGCTTTACGCTGTTTTTCCTTGAAATAAATAAATTTTACGTGTTGTGTACGCGTGTTTAGTATATTTGTTTCTTTCATATTAATTTTAACTATAATTAGTTTTTTAATTAAGATTATTTTAGTGTTAGTTGTTTATTTGTTAGTGTCCTGTTTTCTTTAATTTCGCATTTTTTAATTTTCTTTTTTTTTGGTGTTGGTGCTAACCCACACGGAACAAAACATCCAATGGACGTCCATATAACCTCCATACCTCCATGCGACCTCTACCTCCACGGTGGACAACAGATGGATTTCTAATAGATATCCATACTATCTCCACAATAGATATCGTCTACAAATTCATCATGGATGTACATTAGACATCTATTATGGATATATGATAGATTTATACATCCTTGCATTGAATAAAATAAAAATTAAGTTTTATTTAAAATTCTTATTTCTGAGAATGTTTTAAAAAATATTGAAAAATTTGTAATTATATATATATTATTCAATTTTCAACTTATATATACGTAACATTTATTAAAACAGTTTTTAAAAATATACTTACATAATAATACAATAGTAATAGCAAGATTAACAAATTGTATGAATCAAAACTTTTTAGATTAAACTGTAATATTTATAAAATTTATTATTAAATATAAAAATTTTTAATTTTTTAATTAAAAATAGAAAGTATTGAATTTGAAATGACTTTAAATCTTGCAAAAAATACATTAGCTAGTTTTTAATAAAATTACTGTTACAAGTACGCAAATAAATAAATAATGATTAAAAAACATTCAACAATTTAGAAATTAATTCGATAAATAAATATCTCCTAATAATTAATGAAAATTAACGTAGACAATTTTTTTATAATAGAATATATATTTTTATTGATAACGTTTATAAATAAAAGTATAATTATATAATACAATATGTTAATATAAAATTACTACAAGTGTATTTTCAATATATATATAAATTTTTTTGCGACCTTTATTACATAACTCCTAGAATGACAAAGAAAGATAACATACCGAATTTACAAAAGGAAGACTTTTCTCGCTTGATTTTCGGTCTCAATACAAAAACAATGTTCCCAGATTATACATATATATATTTTTTTTCCGATGAGTAACGCGAGGACATTATCTTATAATTAGACAAATTAGGTCGATAAAATAATATATAGATACAAATATTTGTATAGTAATGCTAATTGTAATGATGACAAACATGAACGCTTATTCTCTTATGAAAAATTTTCGTATACGAAGATGACGCTGAACGAAAATTGTGTGTTGTGTGTTGTGTGTGTGTGTGTGTGTGTGTGTGCGTGTGCGTGCGTGCGTGTATGTGTGTATGTGAGATTGGTATATACTTTTACACAGTTAAAAATATATACCAATCAGAGAGATCGCGCAGCATCATTTTCGCATACGAAAAATTTTCTCGCTCCATTTTCGGTTTCTACGAAAAAAATCTTTCCAGATTATACATATATTAATATATTTTACCCGAGTAACGCGAGGACGTCTTATAATTAGACAAATTAGGTCGGTAAAACATATATATATATTATAGATACAATTATGTGTATAGTAATGCTAATTGTAATTATACTGACAAACATGAACGCTTATTCTCATATAAAAAATTTTCATATGCGAAGGTGACGTTGTACGAATATTGCGTGCGTGCGTGCGTGCGTGTGTATGTGTGTGTATAAATAAAATATATGTATAATATATATGTGTAAATATATGTATAAAATATATAATACAATATGTTAAATATAAGAGATATAAGAGAGTTTTACACATATATATACATACATATATTTAATGAAGAAATATATATACATTGGGTGCGTTCCGTTATGCACTGCAAGTACTGGCACTATGACGTCATGCAAGTGTACTGTTGACAGCGTTCCTTTTTAATTTTGTGCACTTTGAAGCTACTGCAAAATAGTAAAACGGAACGCACTACAGTACGCTTTCAGCAGACTTTTAACTAACCTTTTTCGCTAATAATCATCGAGTGAAAATTGGTGAAATGGATAATACCATTATTGCATTAATTACATATAATTTAATCGAGAATATATATGATTCGAGTGAGTCATCAAGTGAAAGCGATTTGGAAATGGAATTAATAAATGAAATGAGACGACAAATTAAAATACCTAGAATAAAATGTAAAAATTACGTTAAAAATATTGTATCATTATATTCAGATATGGAATTTAAAAGTTAGTTCCATCGTACACATGGAGGTAGCCATCTTGATTACTGCGAGTGCTTTACCTCGCCGGTTGCAGTAATCGCAACAGGAAATAACGTCAAAATTAATGACGTCATATACTCATGATAGTACTTTCGCAGTGCACTGCTATCTATATCGGAACGCTATTGGTAGTACTGTCAGTACTTGCAGTGCATAACGGAACGCACCCATTGAATGCGTGTGTGTGTATGTATATATACACACACACGCGGGCGCGCGCAATGAAAATGCTTATAACGTTACGTTTTGCAGGAGGACATGGAGCAGGTGGCAAATTTACACCAGACTCTTCTTCGCTTTCCGACGAAGAGTAAATTTTTCTCGCTCTATGTTTTCGGTAATATTTTGCTTCCTTTTCCGTGTCCATATCTGACGTGTATAAAGCTTTCTCTGCCTTCGCATAAGCCTTCTGTAAGGACGCTGAAAATATTATAAACATTAAATATTATAAATAAGTAAAATATTTATAAAAGTCAGTAAAACCCTATACTTAAATATAGTACTTACAATATTCGCCAAAAATTCTTATAACTTCTAATGCGGGCCAATCAAACTTTGGTATCTCCTGTTTCTCTACCGCTTTTCGGATTTTTATATCTGTCTTAAAATGCGAGAGATATTTGCATTTATCTTTATTTTGCAACCAAATTTTTGGTATTACTTGAATACCATCCGGGAATTCTGCGACGACAAAGCCTTGATTCGACATCTTCCAATGCGATTCTAAAAAAGAGCTTCTGCGTGTAATATTGTAATAAAAAAAGAAATCAATTTATATAGATGTGTTTTGTGTATATGTGTATTGTTATGTATATGCATTTGTTATGTATATGTAATTGTTGTCTCAACCACAATTTTGTCAGTTTATTTAAATTTTGTCAATTTATTTTAATTTTTTATTTATAAAAGATATTACAAAGCGGAGCGCAATATGTAAATATTATAAATGTGCGGTGCTTATAAGCGGTATTACTGCGAAATATCTTTCATTTTTATATGGCAATTTTATAAATTTAGATCTAATTTTATGTAAAGGCCAGACTTGAATGTCAGATAATTTACTCACTTTAAATATATCCAAATGAACAGAACTACATGGATTATTATAAAGTTCTTCGACAACCTTAAATTTACGACCTACTGCAATATAATTGCCTTCACTCGATGTTGCGATATTTTCCAAACAAACGATATCTTTATCTATGAGACAACAATTATCAGGAGATTTGACTGAAATAATAAAATGAGGAAATTCAATCTTCGAAAATTGTGGATTAAAACAACCTGATATTAGCGGTCCTCTCTCGTGTGGATTCTTTACATTTATTTTTGAAATATTAACATTGTCAGAATTTACTTTACAAAAACTCATTTCCGCATAGCGATTGCTAATTTGCTCCAATGGTTTTTCAGATTTTCTTAAAATAGATTTTAATTCTTTCATAAAATTTTCAAACGGAAAGGCACTGAAA